TCCCATTGAAGATGGCGGCCGTTGCTGCAGGCTCCCGCCTCATCTTATCGACCTGCTCTTTGCGGACTCTGGCCACAGCTTCGTCTTCCATGGCTTGTGTCCATTCCGGAGCCAGAGCAACCTCACTGCCCGTGGCCTCGGCAAAACGCTTCTCATAGCTCTTGAACCAGAGGTAGAATTGGAGGTTTTCGGCCGCATGTTCGACATAGACGAGATAGTTCATGAAGTCTCGGATGGCCATGGGCTTCAGAAAGTATTAGAAGAAGACACTGGCGGAGAGCAGTTCCTTGCGGGCTTACCGGACAAGTCCCACCATTGATGATTCTATCAAAGCTCAAGGCATCTGGAATGCCGGATGAAGCGCCAGACAACCCCGACTTGACGGATCCTTCAGCTTCTTCTGACGTCTCTCGACGCTGGCGATAGGTGTCATTGTCGACCTTCTTGGGTCGTCGATACTGAAGAGAAAGAATCTTCATGGTGATGTCTGCGGGTGCAATCAACGATGAACAAACGAGGCGATATACGAAGACGCACCGGGAAAGCCCGTCGGCTACTTATACGACTCAATCAGGACCCTTGGGATGCCGATGCGTATGCGTATATATAAACGGAGTATCCCCGAGAGAGATCAGATACAAGAGGCGAACCATCGGTGGCCTACAATTATTGCTTTGCACCCGAATGCGTTGATAGCTCACAGGAGGCTTATGCAAGGAAGCAAACATGGATCCACACCTTGACCAGGACGATGGCAGCGTATAGACTGCTTCCTCTCCGCCCGGGAAGGATGGATGAGACCTGCATCAGCAATCCCAGGAGACAGAGGGGTTAAAGAAGGCATTGCTTTGAGCAGGACGGAATCACTGGTTGAGATTGGTGAGGGGGGCTGCCCGCCACCTACATCCATGAAGCGCCTGGGTTCCAAGGCCTGAACTGAGAACCAACTAGCCAGGCACGACGTGGACGGCGATAGTATGGCTGATTTGGCCGATGAGTGGCCAGGAAGCATTGGCTCAGAAGCCCCGATGGTATGGCCAAATGGCTGAGGGCTGAGATCGCCGGCACATCGAGAGATCCAAGGTTCCCACCATCCAGATCCAGCCAAAGGCTGGCGCCGCCTTTCCAATCCCCCGAGTTGCCTGGCCTCCCCGCCCTCTGGAGGAGCGGGACACGGCACGTGTGAGCGGTGCTACTCCATCCTTTCCCGTCCTGTTCTTTGAGCCGAGACTCGGTTGGCCATCACAGACATCAAAGCGCCACCGCACTAAAACAACCTCCTCGCTTTCTTAGCCAGCTCACGGATGACTGCTCCCATGGGTGCAGCATAGTAGTACAATGCCAGGAGGTCGAGTTCAGCTGCGCCACACGCGAGGGTTTTCAGAACTATCTCCTCCAGAGTGGAGTAGCTGGTAGGGAACAGGAAGAAAAAAAAAAGAAAGAAGAGCGGGAGGGGCAAAGCACATGGACGATCACGATGGGAACGTCGAGATTTATATCTCAATTCTACCTTGACGAGGGCGTCGCGGAGACGATCACTTGTCTTTGGAAAGACGTTGATTGCAGGGGAGAGAGGTGTCACTGATCACCTTCTCCAGCACTGCAACAGAATGACTGGATACGAGTAGCGTTCTTATCCAATTTGAGCTCAACAAGCACGCCGTTGACACAGGCGATGGGTTTCAAACGATGAGACATGAATTTGTCTCGCCCTCACACCTTGAGGCAAATTTGCCCCTACCTTTTCGAGCCGCCGTCCTCCTCTTCTGCTTCACTGCATCGACATGCATCGGCTACAACCAGTACGCCAAATTGAGACGGTGACCAGCACAGCGGAGTGACGGCATTGTCATTTTTGAGACCTCGTCGAGCATCTAAACTAGCGTCCCCAGCTGGACTTTGGAGGCCAAGCAAGAACGGGCGAATCGGATACAGTACCATCAGGGCGCCCCGTCTTTCTATGGACAACTCCCTCAAATGTCGTGTCGGAGCAGGATGTGATATATGCCAGTCCCTCACAGCTTGCAGTTTCCGGGCTTTTTTAGAGGGATGCCCCGTTGCTTGGTGGTTGCAGGTCCCGGGGGTTTCTAGCGTCAACCTCTGATCAGAAGCTGGACTCGGCTAAACTTGACAGTTCTTGCGTCCTTGCAAGACGAACCGTGAACCTGCTACTCCGCCCTGGCGTCGCAAGCTCCAACGGACCACTTCTCCCTTGCATCCGCCACAACGCACTAGACTGAGACGCCAGCAGCAAAGGACATCCATTCGGAGCCGTCGCTCAGGTGCCCCCGCCAGAAAGCAGTGCTACGACTTGTCTGCAATCAAGATGCCCAGCATCTGCCTCCTTGAATTAGGGGCCTGGAGACTGGAGTGAAAGGGGGCTGGACGCAATCTATTGCAACTCGGCACGATGCATGCAGTGTCGCTCTGCAGCTGCAGGACTCGCATGTCGAGGAAGATGCCATGCATATACGGGTACTAAGTACTCTGCTGTACTCCTGGCTTTGAGAACGGGAGATCGACCACGGGCATCGCCGGGATGCAACCCGCGCTGAGCCTCCAGCCCTAACAAGTTTTCAGCTGAGTTGGGGACCGTCGGATTGGGTCCCCGGTTCACTATCTCGCGCAAGCCGATCGATCTTGGGCCAGCACTTTGCGCCAGGCTCTGGCTATCAATAGCATATGAAGCCGTTCGTCCACCACATACACAAAGCATATACGGCTGCACTGGATGAGTCTGGTGGCCACGTCAGTTCAGACCTGATACCATCTTGCATCTGGTTCTTTGAATGCCTCTGCTAGGACTCTAACTTTTTGTTGGGCATTACAAAGTACAGAGCGCGACGTACCACTTCACCACTTCCACTCCAATGCCTCGGGTCCGTGCTCTGAGCTTGTTTGCCATTCCTCCCCATAGTGTTCAGGTCGAGTCTGATGATTTGTCTTCTCTCGCTCAAAACCAATGGGTATCTCTATACAATTGACAAGCTCCATTGACTGATTCTTTGCCGATCACCAAGGGTGACACGCAATCAACCGTCACACACTGAACCCGACCACCCCGCACCAAACTTCAGGAGGAGTGTGTCTTGGCTGGAGCCAGTGCAGTTCACCGTCATAAACGCAGTCGCCAATCAGCCGCCGCCAACAGGACATCGCCCCTTTGATATCGCTCTAGGTCAGCCGAATAGCTCTGAGCTTTCGATAGTGTATGCAAGGGGACATGCGGCGGGAAATTCGAGCGTTAGGGCACGGCTTCATGGAGTTGTTTTGCCGCCTATCGGACCCCTGAACATTCTAAATGACGAAAGGCGCGGCCATCAGGCCGCGCCCCTTTGCAAAGTTGACGGCGCCGGGTGCTCAGACTTGCTCAATCATCAGAAGGCTTCAAAGCACTTCTGTCATTATTGACAGACACAGCATCGACCACCGTCTAGTCGATTGAGAATTTTTCTCAAGCATATGTCTCTCTTTTCCTTGTTCTGCCCCCCCGCAGTGCCCCAATCAGGACCGCATGATGGGGCGTGCAAATGGCGACGCGGATGGCAGTACGAATACTCTCTGCTGAGTACACTTCCCATCCCAAAGGCATCATCAACCGCTTGAAGTCATCTCCGATAAAGAATCGGTGGCCGAGACGCATCTCAGTTAGTTGTATCTAGTGGAGGTCCTCCGGTGCCGCCAACTTTCGGTTCGACGCAGCCCTCGCCAAAATCATATCGGGAAGGGATGCTGAGACGCAGGCCACCGGACATGGAAGCTACTCTCCGCCTAAGGTGAAGGCAGAATGTTCATGACAGGTATTGACTAGGCGCGATATTTCAGTGAAAGCACGAAGCTTGCTTCCAAAAGCCAAGAATGGGCGAAGTGGAATGGTTTTCCAAGACTAGTTGACTCTGCTGATATCCTATCGTCCTTGTATGTTTATGGCCAGTCCCATGCAGCCATCTACATTTTTCCGCCAAGCACCGCAATCGACGCCAGAATTGATCATCCACTGGTCATCGATGGACTTCCAGCTTGACCCTCTTTCAGCTTCTTGTGGTCTTGGCAGTATGTTGCGGATAATTCCAGAAGGAAATCACTCCATGATGAGGCTTCTGTTAAGCGAAGGCAGGCCAAAGCGTGTATCGAGACCCTTGTTCCTCTGTCTTGGAAATCGATTCAGATCTGGCTGTTGAGAATCAAGATTCTGGTCACACATCCCTCTTATTGTCTGTCGCCCCAGGGGACATCAAGATTCGATTGCCCACGGCCAGGTAATTTTGGCGACTGTGTGAGTAACTCGTTTCTCGATTGGGAAGCATCTGGCCAACCCGAGCCGAAACAACAACATCGGGCCGCCAGATATGTATGTCGACGAAATTGACGCCGGCGTCCTCTGTCAGAATTTACCATGCATCTCAGGATGATCCTATTGATACCATGGTCGCGAATACTGGCCTTGACATGATAACGTGCTCTAGAGGAGATGCTCTCTCACAAGTGTTCCTGTGTGAGCACCGGCCGGCTGGTGGATGGAGAACGCTGGGAACCAGGGGTGATCGGAGGGGTTTCAGCGGCTCTCGAAGTCATCTACCGGAGTGGCTTCCGAGTATCATTTCTTGAGTAACAAGACGACATTAGTTGGCGGGCACGATAAGCGGACGGGTGAGGGCCTGACTCACATGTCCAAAGTTCGCATCATCCGTCTCAGCCAGTGGAAAGAAGCCCAGGGCACCCTATGCTTGAGATCGATGAATCTCCCACTTACTTTCGACGAGAATGGCACCTCCTCGCAAGCGATTTTGCCCAGAAGGCTCGCGCTGCAGGGGATTCAGATGTGTCTGACTTCCTTCTGGGCTGGATGCTTGCACGACAGACACAGTCGTAGCGTGGTTCGTTTCTGCACCGTGGTCATAGATCGATTGCAGTGCGAGCGTCTCAAGGCCAGGACGCTTCCTTCTGCTGCGACGTTTCGAGCCTTGTTGTCCAGGATGTTCGAAGAGGCCGCATCTTCCCAGCTTTCTCGCTCCTCGACCTTTGGTGTATTTCACGACCAGTGGGCCCAGCATCGGCAGTGACACGCAAATAATGCCAAGATTGGCCTCAAGGGTCGAGAGAAAGTCGGCCCACACCATGGTGCCTGTTACATTATCCATGTTGAGATGCGTCAACGTGATGATCCGACAGACGGCGACGACAGACACTCTGCTTCATTGACCGGGTTGTTAGTACAATACTCTGCGGTTGAGAAGAAGCAGGAGGAGAAGAGAGGGAAAACTACTCGAGCAACGCAAAAGCACTTACAGCAAGCCGGTCAAGAAGAGTATTGTCAACGCAACCTTCATTTGGCTCCTCGTGTTTAACGTCCATATTGTGCGTAAAGGCAATGTGAGGATGATGATGTCGCTTATGATGTTGTAAGCTCCGACTGCGAGGAATGTCGCGATTCGGTCTGCGCAAGTGCCCCCGACAAGGGGATTCCAGGTCGCTTCGAAAGGCCGACAGACGAAGAAGAACATGAGGACACTGCCCAAGCCCCATAACGAGACAATACCGATCACAATCTGGGTAGCGATTCGCAACTTGCTGTTGGGAAAGACTCGGAGATAGAAACAGAGGATGCTGAGTTTGATAATGGTAATGCATGATGTGTATGACAACGCATATGCAATGGTCAGCTTCAAGATGATGACTAGATTTGGCTGCGTCTCGGAAATCTGGCGTCCAACTCCCATCGGGGCATCTAGAGATGTCTGTCAGCAGCCGTCTGGCCCAGCCGAAGGGGCGCGGATGTAGCCTACAGAGGCCCTGGATAACAAGCATGCCAATGCCCAGGGGCATCGAAAGAAGTATCAAGTAATCATCCCACCAAAGCTTTGCGCCGGTCACGATGCGTGCAAACACGCGGAATCCGACAATGACGACGGCAGCTCCTACGAGGACGCTGTTGATGATGAGATGCGTCTTCACCACCGGAAGAATTGGGAATGTGACAGTCTGCAGCGCCATCCTGCTGCCGTAGTTCGTTTTGATGCCGTAGGATCATCACACCATTTCGCTCGCCGAGCATTCGGCAGGACTCGGCCAAACGGACTCGAGCGTGCGGCATCCTTCCTGATAAAGAACTATACTGATCGTATGAGGGCATGCTTCCGGGTGTTGGTCCAACACTATGCCCCCAAATCCTTGGCCATAGAGTATACTATGGCATGACGGATATTGGGGCCAGGTCGGAGAGAGATAATAAACGTCGTCAAAGACCCGCGACCCCTGTCGGCCAGCAACAAGATCGGCAGATAACCCTGTGGGATGCTTGCCCAACACTCTTTCTAGGCAGGGTTGGATATCCGAACGGCATGCGTAACTTTGTCCAGGTACTACGACGATGCGGGCAGTCCTTGGGCCAGCGGCAGAGTAAGGTAGCTCTTTGTCATACTTGAGCGGTATAACAAATTTGTTAGACCCCGGGCGGCGATGCATGATGAGCGGTCAATCGAGACCATGGCTTGCTCTTTGCTCTGGGGTCCATGCGTCCTAAAAGTCGCTGTTGGTTATTCGACTTTCGTCAAGGATCAGATCATCGTGTGAAATGGTTTGTCTGGTGGAGACATGTTGGACCCAACAGAAGAAGAAGGGAACACCAACTCAAATACGAAGTGCCACGGACGCCGGCTGTACCAGTGCTCAGACTGTGAGCACGGATATGAGAAGAGGATACTAGAGCCGTTGCTGAAAACCGATCAAATATGTGACACGAAGTATTGGCGAGTTTCGTAGAGCCGTAACTTTCGGCTCTTGGATGCATGCAAGACTGATGCGGCAACCAGAAGTCGTTACCCGCAGACGACAACAGCCTGCAAACCAAGGCTTCTTGTGCTGCCGTCAATGAGTTGATTGAGCAGAGTGAGTTGAGGGCATAAACGGGAGCGAACTGAAAATGTATTTAGCTGGTATGCCCGGTTACCACTGCAACGAACGGGACAACTGCTACCTTTGTCCGTTTGCCAACCACGTGTTAAATTCCTCGGAAATCCTCAAAGGCCGTTGATGGAAACATCCTTGACTGATGGGGGTCGCATCGCAATTTCTGGAGGAAACACGTCTCTCCCTGCCGTTGAAGGATTCGTGCAAGGGAGAATTGCACATGTGTCCCAGAAGGTTGCAGTACAAGGGAGTTAATATGATTAAGCCCGTCGTTGGCTGAATCATGGCTGGACAAGGTCTGGCCGTCGGCAAAGGCATATGAATAGGCGAGGAATCTCCAGATGAATTTTCCCAACCCTCAAATCATTCCTCGTATTCGTGGCAAGCAACCTCGTCAGTTACCTCCATACAACCAGAGGTTCGGACGCATTGTCTTGGCCAGAAAGCGGTCATGGGTTCCGCCGTAGACGTTTTTGACTATATCATTGTAGGAGGCGGCACAGCCGGACTGACAGTTGCCAATCGCCTGACCGAAGATGCGGACATCAAAGTATTGGTGATTGAAGCAGGACAGGATCGCACAAATGACCCTCTGGTTCAGATCCCAGGCCTCGTCGTGGGAATGTACGGCAAGCCGGAATATGATTGGAACTTCAGCTCGACTCCTCAGGTGAGAACGCTCCCGTATGACTGTCGTCCGGACATTGGACTAAAGCGCAGAACTAGCCGGGTCTCAACAACCGTATCATCAACCAGGCGCGCGGCAAGCAACTGGGAGGTTCTTCTGCTCTGAACTTCATGATGATGTTGTATCCTCCAAGAGGTAGTCTGGACGCTTGGGGTGCTTTGGGAAACAAGGGTTGGGACTATGATGCTCTGTCACCGTACTTGAGCAAGTTCGCAACGTTCCATCCCCCTCCACAAGCCGCGAAAGATGCCGTGGGCCTCGGGAACCACGACGACGCAGCGGTCGGCAACGGGCCGATCCAGGTGTGCTTCAGCGAAGGTTATGGCAAGCCGAACAAGGCCTGGATGGAGGCATTTGCCCACCTTGGACTGGATATGAAGACCGATCCGCGGACCGGAAAGGGTCTGGGAGCATTTCAGCAGGGTGGCAGCATTGATCCCGCCACCAACACTCGAAGTCATGCCGCTAGCGCCCATTATACTCCTGAGATCGCGAGCAGGTCGAATTTGACGGTCATCACGGAGACGGTCGTCCAAAATATTATCTTCGACGCATCAAAAGACGAGCCTGTTGCTGTCGGTGTGCTTGTTCGGACCCGGGCGGGCGCCGAAATGACGCTCTTGACTGATGGCGAGATCATCCTGGCTGCAGGAGCCCTCATGTCGCCCCAAATCCTCGAGCTGTCTGGCGTCGGAAGCAAGTCCCTCCTTCAGAGCTTGGGCATACCCGTTCTTGTCGATAATCCAAGTGTCGGCGAAAATCTCCAGGACCATCCCATCACATGCCAGTCGTTCGAGGTCAAGCCTGACGTCCTCTCAGGCGACGTGCTGAGGGATCCCAACGTCCTTGGAGCTCTTCTCCAGCAATTTCAGGACGGCGGTAAGGGGCCCCTGGGTCAGTCTAACATCAGCGTCGCGTATGTGCCCCTTGCGAATGGGGCGGGCGTCTGCTCTGAGGACGCCAAGAAGTCACTGTTTGCCTCTCACCGCGAACATGCGCAGACCCCTGAGGCAAAGATGCTCTGCAAGCTTCTCCAAGAGCAGGATGAGCCAGCCGTGCAGTATTTCTTGTTTCCCTCACAAGCACACACTGTCATAGACAACCCGTCCAGCATGGCCGATTATCTCTTGCCGACAAGTCCGGAGAATTACTTGACGGTCATGACGATGCTGAACCACCCATTCTCCCGTGGCAGTGTCCACATCACCAGCGCCGACGTTGACGAACTCCCTAGGTGGGATCCAAATTTCAACTCGAATCCGCTTGATCTGGAGATCTCTGGTCGCCATGTCCAGTTTGTCGAGTTGCTTCTCCGTACGGCTCCATTCGCAGATCTTTTCAAGCCTGGCGGTGCTCGCATTCCGCAGCTCAAGGGCGATACCCCAGATCATGCGAGAGAGGTTGTTCGGCAAAGTCAGGTTTGCTGCTTCCATCCGTGCTGTAGCTTGGCGATGAAGCCAAGGGAGACAGGAGGTGTCGTTGACAGTAGATTGAGAGTATATGGCACCAAGGGCCTGAGAGTGGTTGATGCCAGTGTCTTTCCAGTTCAAATTGCGGGGAATATCCAGAGTATGGTTTATGTCGTTGCAGAGAAGGCTGCCGACATTATCAAAGAGGACAGGTTGAGTAAGTGAGCGCTCCAAGAGGCAGACCGGGGCTCGAGCTTCTGAGCCAAGGAGCCAAGGTCAAGAGCTTGGTCAGGTTAGGATTGTTTCCCAGACACGTAATGCTGCTTCGCCGGCAAATCATGGGGTGGTAGGAAGAGCTGAAATTCCGAGAGAAGAACAAAGTACTCTGGCCAATAATGAGAGAGCTTCGCTTGTTGCATTCAACCAACAAATGAGACGTAAGACATGCACAACCGTTGTTCGGTGAAGCCGCGGGTTCGCATGTCTCTCAATGCCGAGGTTCATATGACGTGGGCATGGCTGTTCGCTGGAACTAGTTCGATTCTGCGGATGTTCAGACATCATCAACAATAATGCTGTGTGATGATGAGGTTCAGCCGACTCCTGAAGAGAACAGGGAGCAACCTCTTCGTCCGGTGGTGCTTTGTCAGGGGTTGGGGGGAAGTTTCGATGTTGTCGTTGTCGGCAAGGACTGGACTATTGCTTCTTGATGGGTAGTCAAGGAGAATCCCCGAATGATTGTTGTTGTGGCTTTTATTGTTTTCGTTTAATGAGGTTACCTGACAGGGGGGGGGCCCCAGCCTACTCAAAACGAATGTGATGAGGCCCATTGTGTGTCTCAGAGTACATGCTGGCAGAATTCGAAGCTGAACGAAGTGGTACGCATCCATTAGTCAAGGGTCAACCATGCTATGATTGCACTTACCGTGAGATTCGTCATGTGGAAAAGAGAAATATTGTGTGAAAAGTTAGTGGCATATTATACATCTCGATCGATCGGTCGTTCGGCCGGCCGGCTGTTCGTAGCATTCGTCGGTGTTGCTCTGGATTTGGGGCACGTTTGGTCGTTCGAGTATCAAAACTGGCTATTCGGTATTCGCCGTCGATTCCCATCCCGTCGCCTTATTCTGACCGGCCGGCTGTTCGTAGCATGTCGATATCCTTTGCCAGTTCACATTCCTCAATCCCCTTATTGTCCCTTGTATTCTGACCGGCCGGCTGTTCGTAGCATTTTCGAAGCGTTCTCTCGATTCCGTTAGCAACTCGTCCGTTTACGATTCATCATCCGGGTATCGGTGAATACGTTATTCGTCGTCGACTCGAAACATTGATCCCTTATTCTGACCGGCCGGCTGTTCGTAGCACTTGTCGGGTACCTCCCCTGATTCATATCCCATGTAACCCTTATAATGTATATATATATATGCATCGTCCGCTCGTTCGTTGCCCCATGAGGTGCACGTAAATCGGGTCATCGATACGATCGATAGTTGATGTGAGATCGCCTTGTCTTTTCTCGAGTGGCAGGATAATGGGATGGCCCTTCATTAGGAGTCGGTCTGTAGCAGCGGCCCTGGACAAAGAGTTCAGACGTTAACTCGTGAAAGTCTCCCAACGGTACTTGTAACTCACCATTATTGTCAGCCTATGTTCTTGATTGTTAGATGTATAGAACAGTCAGATGTGATATAGCTTGCACGGACTGACGCCAACGGTTGTCCGTTGCCGTTGTTGAACTGGCCGATGATATACTGAGCTTTCATCGTCAGTATACCGAGGAGTGTACCAAATGATACCCCGCAAATAATCATCGGCACAGGAGAGAGAATAATAACTTGATACGTGTCAGATACCGTACGAGGCCAGCCAGCGGAGATGACCAAACTCACCTTGATAACCAGTAGGTTACAAGCAAATAGGAACTGAATCATATTGTCATTGTATTTACACGTAAATATGGACGAGAACTTGACGTTGTCAGTATATGCAATACTGATAGAAATTAGTGAGTACCGACCTCAAACCTGCAGCGTTGGGACGATGTTCCCGAAGGCCTGTCAGGGAGATTGCCACCGCATATGAGAAAGACTCTGAAGCCGAAGTCTCTTCAGCTTGAGGCCCCTAACCGGCGTCACTGGCTGCATTCAATGCTTTCTGGAGCCTTTCAGTGTCGGTACTGTTTGGTCAAGCTTCAAGCTTGGGCTCACCATTGATATCCAGCCAGAGAGCTGAAGACATCTGGGAGATCCTGACGAAGACGTGAGAGCGGTCAGAAGACGAGCCCAATGAGCGGATAAGGCCACCCAAAACAAGTAGAAGGGCAAGTCTTCTCAGGGCTCTGTTGCGACGTGGAAGAGCTAGTTCCTTTGTCGTCAGTCGATCTCGTTTGAATCATTGTCGCAGGGTTGCTTACCTTGGCAGACTGCCTACTGCTGGGGTGCTCATGTGTGCGGACTCTTGTCCCTAACAGAGAGCTGCATATTGTATCTCAAAGAGAGTCATCCCCAGCGGCATCAGGATAAAGAGAAGCGTGAGGTTGATCAATGAATGTTGCCTATGACAAAATCTTGAGCGCCGTCTCTCGCTCAGGGATGCGTTGGCTGTCATCTCCATTGAATCGAAAAAGGTGCTGGATGCAGTGAAGAAGATGGAGTTTGCTATGTCGATGGCAACGTAGAGAATCAAAGGAAAGAGGAAAGATGGAAAGACCTTATTGTCAGGAATGTGCATCTGTGTGGCGAGAGATCACGTGCGGCAGAATAACTGTCCGCCCCTTATTCTGCATGTCGAGGATGGTGAAGCATAATGGCTTGCACTCGTGCACAAACCCGAGATATAGTCATGTAAAGGTAAATTGTATAACTTGAAGGACTTGAGAAAGTCTGCAGGGCTTTTTCTTCCCGAGAAATGAACATTTGGAGAAGCTGGAGAGGCGAAGAGGACGGTGGTGAAGTGAATGGTCGCTGTTTCAGGGGATGGACGACCGCTAAAGACTGCAGCACAACAACTGAACAGCGGTCGTCAGCAGTTGTCAGGGCATCGCCCTCGCTTAGCTACCGCTCTCTGTATTTGAATTGGGCAGTATCTGCGGAGGACGCGATATTGGACATTAGAAGACGCTGGCTGCAGTGTGAAACGATATGATGATGATGATGTGGGAATAGCTGCAACAAGTTGCTCCACAAGTCCAGCATTGAATGTATTTCTCACCACTTAGATATCAAACTATGTATCTAGTTAACGTAAACCTACCTCAGCGTTTTGAAATCTGTATGGGAGAGGTTTGTGTTGATGAAACGCAATGCTTTGCAGGCGAATTGTCAGCGTGTCGACCTTCTGCCACTCTGCCAGCCGATGGCCCGACCTGAACCTACAGTGTCAAACAAAGAATAATGGGAAGACTTTCACAGGAAACCTCCCGACACAACCTTTTACCGTATGTGCTCTACTTTGAACGACAGTATCATGTTCAGGGAGATGTTCAGAGGCATGCCATTGCGAGTCAAGCAGCCTACGCATTCGTTTCAACTTCAAGCCCCGATAAGTCCCTCTATGCTTCGTCCACTTGCTTACTTGCAGCCTTACTTGACCAAGCTTGGGAGGGGCCTGCATCTCACAGCTACATGTAAAGTGATTTTTTCTTTTCTGCTTTCTCCTCCCTTTGAACACGAACTCTTGCGCAACCGAGGCATTGACGGTAGTTTCAGGAACAAGGATCACTGAACAGAGAAGCAAAGGCGCATGAACCAAGGATTGCATTGCGTATGAGGACAATCTATTGTAGGTACATTCTGTTGCTACAGCAGAACTTTGAGACCCAGTCAAGCTTCCAACCATTTCCAAGAGCAAATGAACTGATTCTTCAGAAAGAGAAAGAAAGGAAAGACATAAGAAATGCGGCCATGTTCCACCTCAAACCAATGCACGAGAGTTCGAACCTTTGAACCGAGAGGCGACTCGTGGCCGGATCAGAGAACAAACATTGAGGGTAGGAAACAATCTAATATACTCCCTGTTGCCCTATCACCCATCCGCTTGCGACAAGGAGTTGTTGAGGCCTGATTGGCTTACAGTGCTTAGGCACAGTTAGTAGATCTTCCCAAGCAAAAGGAGGTAAGGCTATGCTTCGGGTATCATCACTTACGTGCAAACCCGCACCAGATCCTGTTCTGGTCACCGTCCAGAGGCGAGAGCGGCGCGTATCCTTGGCTTGTATTGTCTACCGCGGTAGCAGTTGGGACCCAGTTATGGGGCTTGAAGTCTTGGCTTTGGAAGATTCTGTCAAAGGTTTCGGGTCTCGGCGGATCTGTGGGATGATATGCAGGGCAACCGTCGTTGGTGTGGAACATTTCGACAATCAGGCTTGTCTCGAGGGCCAGCTCATTGGCAGTATCGCGGCAGAGGTCAGAGGACCAGGGGCCCTGAGGCTCGAACCAAACGATACGAAACCACAGAGAGGACAGGGGATGGTGGCCCGCCCTCTCCTGGACAAAATCGTAGAGCTGCCCCATGCAGAGACCAACGTTCATGTCATGGGCCTTGATGATGGCCTTTTCCATCCTCTGTGGCAGGGGCGAGGTGCCCCTGTCTGGCTGGAAGATCATGACGCCAAAGCTGAAGATTGGAGGCTGGCACACGAGCATGTTGCGCCAGCTGGCGCCAGAGCGAGTGAATCTATCTCTCTCCTGGATTGCCTCGATAGTGGCCCGGCCATCCAGCCTCTCTTCGAGCACGGGCTGGTAGATTGACGAGGGCTCCCACGGCATGTTCATCTTCCTGAGCCTGTGGTGGTGGCGGGTCCATCTGTGCTCGTAGAATGACTCGGCCCGGCGCAGCCAACCGTAGGTGCGCCCAAAGTTGAAGAAGCAGCTCTTGAAATATCTGACCAGGAGGGAGTTGACAAGGGGGAATTTCTCGCGGTCATCTTTGAGCCATTGGGCCTGAGGGTGAAGACCCAGCTTGGCCTTGCCGTCAGGCTTGAGGTAGAGCTTCCGCTGGAGGGTCGGGGATCCCTCAACGACGGCCTTCCAGGTCTTGTTGACTCGTTGGATGGATGTCAGAACCGTGACAGGGTCGAGCAGGAGAAAAATGCTTTCCAGGATCTCAGTCGAATGCGTAAGCTTGTGAGGTGTGGCGTTTGACTTGGGTCTTGGGGACTCGTCGGTGATGTTGCATATAGAAGGATCGCGGGTAAGAGCAACGTAGAACTCATTGGGGCGATTCTGAAACCCTATATGGAACTCGTGGGGGAGAGGCTTGGAGGCAGGATAGAACAATATACAAGGGAATATGGAAGGAATCCAGGACCGCATATCACGAGTGTCAATAGCAATGAATCGCTTCAGTGGGTGAGGAACCGGTTGCAGGTAAGGAGGGAATACGCTGTCGGTGATTTCGAAGGAACGGGTGTAGTAAAAAGCTTCCTCTGGATTCTGGACATAGTAGAGGGGAGGTAATTCGGGGTCATCTATTTCAACCTCGCCATCGTTAGGTACGCCTTTAGGGATGGATTCCATGATGAAGAGGAAAGGGCGGCAGGAATGGAAAAGAGGATTGAGAAGAGAATGTCGCTTGACTCAAAGTACAGCTTATAGGAGACTGACAGAGAAGAGAGAGGAGTGTTCGTCTGGGAGAAGCTGATGGGAAGATAAGGAGTAGGAGCAGCGGCTCTTATATTCATTACATCGCCAGCAGCTCTACTGTCTGCTTTCTCTTCCCATCACCTCTACTGCATCGCCTCCTACTCCTGCTGTTCATCCTCCTCGCTCCTCGCTCCATCTCCTGAAGCCCCTGATGCAAGTATTACTGCTGACATTACTAACCAGTGTCTCTGAATATTACTTCATGCTGCTGCTGCTATCAGCTTCATGGATGATATATCGCGGGTTTGCTTCTTTTTCCCTGTTTCTGGCTCAAATCTCACCCAAGATAGGTCAACTGATGAGCTGGGGGGCGGGGCAGATGGATGCCACAGCGCGTCTCGATTGGAGGCGTAAAACGAGGCTGTATCAACGACGTACGACTGGACGACAGCCGCTGTGGCCAGAGCAGCAAACAACTTTGTGGCTTTTCTCCCCGCCACCATCCTTGCCATGGCCTGTGCAGCAGCTGAACCAACCTGTACTATCTCGGGATCGCTGATCCTTTGAAGGGAGAGGATGGCAGGCTCAGCAGACAATGGGCGGCAAATGTTCCAGAGCAGATCCGGTAGACACAGGGGCTGGTGATGGCCGGCCGATCACGATGGAGGAGCTCTGGGGAATATGCGGCACTGCACTGCACTGCACTGCACTACTACCACACCAGGCTTTTGTGCTTTCTCCATACTTGCTATGACCTGGCAACCTGGTTGCCCACAGACTTGATCACGATCAGATGCGAGGTATATGTAAACATGAGGCCATTCGAGCCTTGCATCAACATGTTCACGTAGGCTGCTGTCCGTACATTACATTGCATGTTCAACCACCTGGCGTCGTGCATTCTCCAGAGGTGAGCGATGAACACGTGTCACATCAAAGCCGCCGTATGCGTGTAAAGTAGCAGGAGGCGCTTTTTTCTGAAGGATTTGAAGCAAGGGTTTATGATTTAGTGCAATGCAGATGCAACTCGATACAAGCACAGGACATGAGGGTGTGAACGGGACGTAGTAATACCACAAACTAAGATCAAGACCGAGGCCGAGACAAATCTCAGTACCAGGAACCCGGTACTTTGCCAGATGACCACCTCTCGATCCGAGCAAGCGAGGCCACAGACGTCGGCGATTCCTCGAACATCAGCCGACTTCCAAGGCGTCCTTGACTGTGTCACTGCTAGTGATATCAATGTCTGGACTCTCACTCCCAACGGTAGTCAGAGTGTCTGAGTTACCCGGGGTCAGTTGCGTCGATACTGTGCTCAGTCGTCCGGGGTGTCTATAAGTTGCATGAAGCAGGCATGCGGACTTCACAGCCATCCGAGATCGCCAGCAACTCCATGAGCGTACAGTAATGCCAACGTCGGCCTCCCTGGACGGGCTTCGAGAAAAGTGGGCTTCCGGTGCGGCTGAGATGTTTGTGTCGTGCTCAATTTCCTCTTGTCGTCCGTGTTCTGCTTTTTCCCTTGCTCTGCGGCTGAAACAGCAGGCCAACTCTGGTGAGGGGCTTGATATCCAAGGCAGCTGTGGCAGACGGGCAGAGGGGCAGACATGGTCGCGGAGAGTCTTGCCTGTCCCCCCCCTTGTCTTCTGCCATCATCTCGTACGAGAATGAAAAGCCATGAACGCAGTGGCTGGCCGTGTGCCAATAGCAGGACACCGTAGTCGAGTGAGAAGACCTCCAAAAGTCCCCGACAGGAGGTGGTGGCAGTACATGCTGCAGCGTGTGCCCCCTACATGACAGGTCCAATAGCATCATGCAAGAGAACCTCCTCTTTCCTCTGACGCGCGGAGGAGCAAAGACTGCGGGCGTGTGTATCATGATAGGATCGGAGCACCTCGTCCGATGCAAAAGAGGCCCGGAACATGCCCCCAGCCGCCGGCGTGGCTGGGCCACATCAATGAGAAGACAGACAAAGATAGATGAGAAAAACATGTTGAATCAGAATAGGGGCATCGAGACCCAAAAGAATACCCCGCAAAAAGACGCCCAGTCGTGATGCAATATAGGAAAATCAAGACACAACTCGCTCCCGCTTTCGCTGTCTCCCAAAGGGGGAGGACACGAAGAAAAAACAAATCAGACTCCTAGCTCTGCCCTCTCCATCTCGTCGTTCTCTGAACCCTCCCCTCTCCGTCTCTCCAATCCTCCATCTCTCCCTCCTTCCATCTGCCCATTTGCCCGTTTCTTGAACCCTCTACGTTTTCTCGTCTTTCCGTCTCTTCATTTTTCCGTATTTGTCATTCCATCTCTTCTTCTCCGGCTCTTCATCTCTTCATCATTCCATTCCTTTCGCTGTGCCCTACAGGAGATCATCCGAGCCACTAGCAACGCTCTGCTCAATGGCATAGTTGATGTCTCGCTCGGAAAAGACAGGCCCCTGCCCATCACATTTTGCGACTTGCCTCAGGTACTCGGCCACCTTACTGACATCCACCAGCCCACGCTTGTACAGCGAGTGTTCCAGGAGGTAGTCCCAAGCAGCACCGGCCGCGAGCAGTCTATGGCCGTCGTCAGAGGTGACGATACGGTGCGGAGGCCCCCTGTTGTTGTGGCCCTGGAGCACGTTTGTGTAGAAGTCGGTGGGCGTGTAAGTCATGGGCCCGGTCGTCATGGGCTCGGGGGAGTGAGAGCCAGTCTGGTTCTGGTTGACGGCGGAGGTGGCCCGGAGTATCTCGTTCTCGGTCGACATTCTCTGTAGGTCTCGTCGGAGGCGCTCATTTTCGCTGGCGGCTTCCTTCTGGGCGGCTTCGAGGCTGGCAAGTTTGGACTCGAGGTCTTTGACGTGCCTTTCCTTGCGTTCGCGGAATGCTCGTTGCCTGCGGTTGTAAGACAGGTCAGTCAATGCTAGAAATCGGAAGGCCAACAGGTTCTCCTGTCGTGGTTGTTTTGCTTTTGGGGCTTGTTTGCTTGTTTCGTTGGTTATCTCAAGAAGAAGACATGCAGTAGGCATGGTGACCAGGTTTCTGGTTCCTCCCGCAAGGATCTGATCTGGTCTGCCCATCAAATGTGGGATGCATTCACAGGTCAGACCAAGTCTACAGATAACCCGTAGATTCGATACAGAACCATGGAAAAGATGCCAGCGCACAAGAGGCCTATCACCAGGAGGCCAAAAGGTCACAAGAGGAGAGGGGAGAACCTACGCAGCACGGTTCTGAGCCTTCCTCCGAGACTGGGCCGGTGTCATGTTGTCGTCGTCATCGCTCCCACGGACTTCCTCGCCAGTGCCCTCTGCCTTGGTCCCTGGCCCAGATCCGCCCTCGCCGCGCATACTAATGCTATTGCTGCCGTTGACGCTGCCATTGACGCTGCCATTTGTGGAGGGCGAGTGCGGCTGATGCTGCTCCTGAAGCTGCTGCTGGTGGTGCTGGTGGTGCTGGAGCTGGTCCTGGTGCTGATGCTGATGCTGTTGATGCACGGGGCTCGGGTGTTGGGCAAAAGGTGGAGGAGGGTGATGATGGCCTCCATAGGCCGCCTGTGCGTAATCGAATGCATGGAAGGGGTCGGCAAAGTGATCCTACAAGGCGAGAGCACCCACAGAGGGCGATTGGGTCAGCATCAGTCAACATCAAACGTCCACGTCCACGGCCTTGCCCATGTCGAAGGGCCTCAGATCACCCAGAGCAAAGACTGGCAGACGGCTCCAGCTCTGGGTGATTAGTCCTCTCTCTCGTAATGCTCAAGTAAGGGAGCGCTAAGGCACGAGAAGCTGCGCTTCGGGGGGAGTGGGGGACCACAAACTGACAGGCGGGGAGGTGTTGCTGAAATCGTCCGAGCCGGCCGACTGGGAGTGTGAAGGCGTCAAGGGCATAAAAGCCCCCGGGAAGGCCTGGTGAGGGCCGAAGGTGTACTGGGCAGCGAAGTCCATGGTGGCGGTTGATCGTTGAAAGCTGGTGGTGATGCTCCGAACTTTCTGCCGCGTGGGCACAATGGCGTGTATGTAGGTATTGAGTCTAATGTACGGGGGGGGGGACTATGACCACTACTACCTGATACCTGGTAGGGGAAGAACCGGGGGGGGGAGGAGGGGATCTGATGTAGATTTCGATAAGAGGGCACCACAACCCGTATTATATGTATGCGTGCCAGAGTGCGAGGTAGGGGATCAAAAAAAGGCAGAGTAGAGAGTTGTGGCAGTGGTCAGAAACCGTGATCAGTGGTAATGCTTCCCAGAGATTCTGGAAAACCGAAGAAATGGAGGGCTGTCTCTGGCTGTTTTTCTCCTCTCTGTTCCCTGTAAAGGAATTCCTACGTGCTCGCGATGTCCGTACCAACAAAAAGTCAAAGTAACAATATGTCCTCTGCTTTGGTTTTGCGAATAATTAATCAAAGGGCATTAATAAGAAAGACCAACCAACAAAGATGTAGGTGATATGCGTTAGTTAAGCGTTGAGAGAAGAGATTGTCATCCCGGCACAGAAGAAGAGAGAACCGAGGGCAGATCAGGGAAAGGAAGAGAGATGGAAGAACCCCCGAAACGATCCACGATGCCCGACAAGGCACGAAAGAAAAGACGAGCGAATGAGAGCAGTCCCCAGTTGGAGCCCTGGACAGCCCATCTCGAAGCCTGAACCTGAAGGGGGGGCCGAGGAGGGAGGGGGGGCTGCCATGCGACGAAAGATGCTGGCATGCGTGGGAATCATCGCTGCTGCTTAGGGATTGCCGCGCGGGTAGCAGCCACAAAGTCTCGCTTTGCTCCGTGTTAGCTGGATGCCCGGGTCTGCGCGAAGAGTCGACGAAGGGACTGCTAGTACGGATCGGTTGAAGCCGGTTCATGAGGCTGTGGATTCTGCAACGCCCGATTATGCTTGTGGCGCCACAAGCAGCGCTGAGGTGCTTCCTGTCCACCGCCATGACAATTACACGTTTTGACTTGAACTGTTCTCTTTGTCCAAGTCTTTCCTCAGACTAGACTGGCTGTGTCCCTATCCCTCACCTCTTCTCATTCTCGTCTTTCCCTCCCCACTTGCAGAGCTACACTCAACCTTCTGTCGGGGCTCTCACTCTCCAAATGCCCGCCCCTCTTGGTCTTCTCACCCCCCCAACACAGCCCTCCGATGCCCGCTAAGAATACGATGAGCCCGGCTGCTGTTAGTGGCTGCAAGGCGTGAGCTGTTCGGTCTCGACGAGCACAGCTTTTGACGTGGAGCAGGGGGGCCCGCCCAGCCCTTTGGGTCTCGCTCTTGGTATTACCACTCCGTACGAGGTAGCATTCTGCAGTCCAGCACGGCGCGGACTTCGCCAGCGCGGCAGTTAATTTCCAGGCGCACTGATTCGGGCGGCCCCAGTCCGCTCTGCCAGGCTGACTTGTTGATCTGTCGAGGCACACGGGTCCGCTCTATCGTCTCCACGACAGATGCGGGACGACAAATGGCATCAGGTGGCATGCATCACATCTTCAGTCAACCAGGGCGAATATGTCCATCATGACAGAAGAAGACATGCGGAAGAACGACGAATGAACGGAGAGGAATGGAGCAAAGGGGGTTTCCTCATGCAAAACGGTATCCCCGTCCCGCCAACCCCCATCATACACTGATGACTGGATTCTCGAGAAAATCTTCGGTCAAACTCGTCCCGGAATTCCAAATCTCCGTGCGAGTGAGGTCTCTTCAGAGTTGTTCCCCTTGCGCAGGCAGGGTGTGCCTTCGTGCATGTCACTAGCATTCCGTACTTGCGTACGGGAATACAATTTTCATCAAATCAAAGCTCACATCTGATGAGCTGCTGCTTACTGTCCCCCCTCGCTAGTAGGCGCAGCAACCACGGGACGAGAGCCATGGCAATCTCACTTGACTGTCAGAGAGGTTCATTGATAGTAGCAACTTTCTTGAGAGAGCGGTATTCCCCACCGTATCTACCTAGGTAGTTTGTGATTTCCATGTGCATCCTAAGATAAATTTGTCTTGTTCTGTACCGTCGTGACTCGCCCTCAGAGATCCATCGTTCCGGACTCCGAAGATCGTAGGGCTGAAGGGGCTCCTGAAGGAGTGATCGTTGTGGCCCTCGGTTGCCTCCTGACTGACGAAGGAGCCCATTCGAACAATATGAATGGCCTGAGATGGCCTCAAACAGGTCCGTCAGACTTGGTTCCAGCCAGGGTGCCTGTAGGGGGGCTGATGGGAGGGGTATGGAATCTTTCGATGCAAGCCAGGATTGAAGCCCTACAACCAGCCGATTTGCCTAAAGGGTAGATGGAGCAATATGTACTTGGATGGGGTCGGATGTGCCTCTGTACATATATCCCCATACTCCACTGCTAGGATATGAGCATCGGTAGATGACTTGGGATCAACCAAACTCATGTCTGATGGGTAGTAGCAGCACTTTTGTAGAGCAAAGTCAGCCGTAGGTCTCGGTTATCTCTTTCCCGTTGCTGGTGAGGGTGTCAACGGAGCCCTCGTCTTCCCTCGTCTCTAGCCAATAGAATTTCTGCATGACCAAAAGAGCTGTTCCAAAAGGAATAAAATCCATGCCATATCTTGCCATACGTAATATTATTAAGTGGTCCCCACCTAATAACTTAAGACCACCCTATAATACCACAGGCCTTAGGCCTATAATACATTTATAGCTATTTATTTATTTTCCTTTCTTTCTCTTTCTCTTTAGCTAGTCTTTTATAAAAGAAAAGAGCTTATTATTATACCTTTATTAAGTTATAAGCCTTATACTTTTTTAAAAATTATAAAAAAATTATACTTAAACCTTTAAGTTAGTAATAAATAATACTATTATTATTATATTTTTAACCTAATATAAATTATACTTTTAATTTAATATAAATTACCTTTTTTTTAATTTAAAAGATTAACTTTCTTCTTTTTTATTTATAAAAACTTAAAGACTTTATTTTACTTATATATTAATAAAATAATTATTACCTAACTCTTTAAGTTAAAATAATTTTAAATTTATTATTAAAAATAAAAACTTTAATTATAATAACCTTAATTTAAATTTATAAATAGTATAATTTAAAATAATATAGCTAATATTTATAAAAAATAATACCTTTAAGGCTTTATAAGCTAACTTCTTTTTTTTAATAATATTATTAAAAAGTCTTAATAATTAAAATACTTAAAAATAAATACTTAAAATTAATACTTACTTAATAGGCTTTTAAAGTATTATTAAAGGAATAAATATTATAGCTAAAAAAGCTACTTAAGCTAAAAAAAATACTTAAAAAGAAAATAATATATTAATAATAAAATTTATTTTAAATAACCTATTAATAGAAATTTATATAAAGCTTAATTATAAAGGCTTTAATAATAATAACTTAATAATAAAAAAGCTTTTTAAAATAATAAAAACTATAGTTTTAAAAGCCTTAATAAAAGGAGTTTTTATTATTATTTAAAAGTTTAATTATTTAAAATATAGCTAATTTAAGTTTTTAAAAGTATATATTAATATATTAATAAAAGCTTAAACTTATATTACTTATTAATATTTTAAAGTACTAAAGGTTTAATTTATAATTATAGTATTTATAAGCCTTAAATATATTAATAAAACTTAGTATAAGTATTAAATTATAAATTTTTATTAAAGTAAGGAAGTTAAAAAAAATAAACTTATTAAGTTCCTTTACTTATAAATAAATAAAAAAATAAAAATTAAAAAGATATTTAGTATTTTTAAGCAGCCTGCTTTTTTTTTATTAAATAATAATAATAATAAATAATAAAAATAAGGCAAGCCTAATAATAATAAAATTAAAAAGCTAGAATATAACTATATTATTTTAATAAATAAAAAGCCTTATATATTTAATACTTATTAAAGACTTTATTTTAAACTCTGCTTAAAGAATTATTATCCTTAATTTTATTTAAACTTATAATAAGAATTTTATTTATAAAAATAAAAATTAAGTAATAAAAAAAAAGATAAACCTAAGCTTATAATAAAAAAAAACTATTTAAAAGCACCTTAAATATTATAAAAGTAAGGTAATTATTTATTAATATAATAATTACTTTAAATATCTTTATTAAGCCTAACCTTTTTAAAAAAAATAAAAATAATATTATTAAAATTATATAAAATAACACTTAAAATTATAACTTTACTTTAACTAAATATAGTATTAATTAAAATAATATTATTATTAACTTAGGCTATAACTTATACTATTTTAATAACTTAAAGTAGTTTATTTTTATTTAAATACTAAATAAAGCTAATATAATAGCTATATTTAATAAAAGTATATTAAAAATTAAAGGGATAGAGATTATAATTATTTTATTATTAAATAATAAAATAATTAAATTTAAGAATATTACTTATACTTTTTAAAGTGCTATTAATATAGTAAGTTTAAAAGTCCTTAAATAAAAAGATATTTAGTATAACTTTATAAAAGAATTACTTATATAGTAAAAAAATAAAGTAATTATAATTATAAAGGTTTATTAAAAGTATAATATTATAGTTTTAAAAATAATAATACTATTAATTAATAAATATTATAATTTTATAATACTTTTTATTAAATTATTTATTATAAATATAAAATATAGTTTTATATATAAAAAACTAGGCTATATTAATAAAAAATAAGTTTTAAAAGCTTATTAATAATTAGAAATTTAAATAAATAAAATAATAATTAAAGACTTTTATTATAAAGCTTATTATTTAGCTAAATTTAAATTTATTATTAATTATATATTATTAGCTAAACTTATAAAATTTTTTTAAATTATTTTTTAAAATATAATCTTTTATATATTTATTAAATATAAAGG